ATCTTTATCGAACAGTAACTATTCTCTTTTGTATTATATTTAATACTAGCCCTACCCGCCCCAGCTTCGCACAGGTGCAATATGCATGTATTATACATACAAACCTTCCTTAAGAATCACTCTATCTATTAAAAAAAACCGCATCAAAATCCGTTGCGTAGTTTTAAAGATCTAAGCATACATACGGACATACAGCGAAAGCGACTTTGTTTTATACTATGTATTGATTATTAAGTTTTACCCTATTTCCAATATAAAATATGGTCTCCGCTGTTTTCCTACCCCCAGCATTATCTTTCCCGTGACGGTGCGCGGCAATTGATTCGATGCGTTCTGATAATAAACATGTCCTTTCGTGCTCAGTCCAACTGTGACTGTAAACATTGTCTGTTGTTACCTTTCATTCTCGTCTGCTATTATTTCAACTTGCATATGTAGTATGTTGATGGTTTGACTGTGCACATATAGACCTGAACCCTTCAGTTTCGAAGGGAAAATATAAATTGTTCTAAAGATACACCACTCTTCACCACAAATCCAAGACAAACATTAAACACATCTCCACATATCCAATGATAAATAGTTCGTCACTAATCGTACGAAAACTGATACAGCAATTTTGCAGAAACCATCGATAAATCAATGCACCCTTCGTGTTATGATTGAGTGAATCGACAGACGTTACCGTTTCAGCTAAGTCATCCACCGTAAATTAGTTTATGACCATTTTACGGTATACGATCATTAAAACTAATTTTACGAGCGATTTTGGATTCTTCATAAATCACAGAGTTATGACTTTGTGGTTGAAATTGATGGGGATTGGTACTTCAATGTTCAACATCAGTTCTTAATGTTTTATTGAAATCTATTGAATTAATATAATACGTAGGTAGATATGTCCTTATTCCAGTAATCAGAGTTTTTTTATATTGTCATACGTTAGACAGGTGCACAAAGCTTAATATATATTGAAATATTCAGATTAGAAATACGAGTATGTCCCACAATCGAACACTAACACAGAAGAATAGTGGTTAAACATCACTATTATAGTCCGTCCACAACTAAATTAATTTAATTACTTCCATCTATCTTACTTCTTATTCATAGCTAGCTAAAAAATTTTGCAATACTATCTTATCCATGAAAGCGATCTACCCTACCACTTTACTCCGGTCTATTTTAAACTTAGAAACTTAATACAATTTCCATCTTCTATCATGATCAGGTAAATTGTGTTAAAACGTGGCTTCCTTAGCTAACTTTTGATTAACCAAGCTATTCTTAACTGTTGTTTTAAACAAGAACGTCAACTACAGGACATTTTATTTCTTATTTCAGCTTTACCGTTAGCTTTTTTACAAAAATATAAGGTGTATCTTTATCTGCTACCTCCTTTGTGGTGTCGATTGAAGGGTCTGTTTCGATTTTTAGGTCAGGTCAAGTATTATTGAATTTTTTTAATTTTGTCCGAGCTTAATCTGGGATTGTATTCGCGAGGGAGTACATTTGCCACTTAAGTACCTATAGATATCTGATGAAAGTCACTACGTCTTAACTATACTCTGATGATGTGTGTATTAATTTAGTGACGACACGCAGGATTTTTGTTAAAAAAAATTAACGAAGTAATTTCTTTATATAATACTAGTAGCACGACTTACCTACAAATTAACTTAATAACGCAATTACCGAAATTATTGTTAATAAAACAAACAAACTTTACCTTTAATTAGTTCACGTAAACTCGAAACTTCGAGCTCAAGGGGCCGAATTAAAGGGTGCAGGTTTCATACAAAAATAATAGAAAGCTCTTAACTTGTAATTTCTTGTTCATTGCTTTTATCCTCTTTTTCTTTTCTCTTATGAATAGAAGAAAAGGTTGTGTTTGACTGTAATCTGTCTTCTAATGAAATAAGAATGAATCACCTAAATATATGTAGGCAGAGTGATGTCAAACTGCTTGATCTAATCGAATATTTTTTTATCGTGTTCGTTGCTATTAAGACAGAGTTTGTAGATATGAAAGAACTTCGAAAATAATACTTGGGTATTGTATAATAATACTATTGCAGGCCACTGGTTACTTTGTAAGGCCAAAACTTTACACCTATCCCCCATGGGGGTAGACAGAAACTCTAGAACGCCAATTGGCTTTTTATTTATTTTTAATTTAATTTAGACTACTTTTTTGTGGGGGGGAAATCATACAACGGCTTCTCCCACCTTGGGTTAGGCGAAAGGCAGTGTAAGACTCTTACAGACCAATAACCACCCTGTTTCTAGTCCTGCTCATAAAGCCGCAGCCCCGGCAACCCATTAGGCTTCCGCGGCTCCCTAAATTTTAAGACTACTTAGCACAATATTATAAGTCCGATCACAACACAAAACAAAATAAATATTCAGCGTGATGTTTTAAAACCGGCTCGCCCTTTATTATAATACCATCAGCCTACCCCTTCACACAGCCGCAAGTTTCATGTTATTATTTTACACCATTGTGTTTATTAATTAAGAATATTACTGCCGATACACAAACCTTATCTTTGCCCCTATAGTCAGCGAAAACACCCTCTTTAATAACCATTGCTACGATATAGCCCTTATTTTAGCACCCCTAGGTAAGGGCTTACCTGGCTTCAAAAAGGACGCAAGTCGTATTGGAATTCTAATCCTTTGTTTGGAACACAGACAGAACATAATGTTATTACGTAAATATAAAGAAAAATCGATTAGAGTCTTCTGCTTATTGTATAGTTTATATGTTCGTGAACTTTTTGTATGTTTATTACAAAATTGTTCAATAACCCTTGAGTTTTGAGTTCAACCCTTGAGGTTTAGTTGTTAATTGAAATAACGTGTCTGATTCGATCATTAATAGTTTTTTTATAATTGAACGAAGTGTTGCTGACAAAAATACGCTACTACCTATAGTTTTTAACCAACTTTTCTTTCAGTACAGTTGAATAAAAAAAAACGTACAATTTTCATTATAAAATAATGTTGTATGAAAACACGGCAGCGTTATAACAAAAGTTAATATTATAATGAGGTACATAAGGCTGGGATTCCCTTAAATAGCTGGGGGGCACATTAAACAAATATTATAAAATATTTAGCATGGCTACGGGGTTTTGTCCTCAGGTAAACACCGAACAACCATTAGCATCGCATTTCGGCCGGTTACAGACGAGCAGTAAAATGGACGATTTTATTATCCTACCCTTTAAAGGTGTTTGTAGGCAGATTATTTAGAGATGACACTTCTATATATTATTATAAGGCTGGATACTGTGTCCTTTTCTAATGTTGCATATTTTGTAACGCTGTCTCGTTCTTATCGATTTGAACATTGCTAATATTTGGAAAAATATTCTAGTGCATTTTTTTTATTGAACTGTTAGTTTATAGTACTGTGGTTGGATAAATCGAGCTTAAAAACTGTGTAACTTTATACCTATTTTAATATAAAAATAAAAGCTTGAATATGAATATAATAATACTGAATTAACTTTATTTTCGTAGGCAACTACCACAAATGAATATGCAAAATAAACCTATATAATGTTATCATTGCAAAAACTCTTTACCGGCGTCACTGTACACAGTTCTAGTAAATACACGAACGAAAAACAAAAGACACTTCCGTCAGTTACAAATAAATCATTCGCGAACTAATCCGAAACCAATGATAGCAGTAGTGATTTGTGTTCGAAAACCAACTGAAAAACACTACATTCAAAATGGACAACCAAAATGCGAGTTTGTAGTTCCTAAAGGACCTATTTCATCAGATCCATTGACCATTCGCGCAACCGAGATAGAGTGATATCAAACCATACACTATAGTGATTTGGTTGCGGACAACCATATAGTAGCGCAGGCGCGCAACCAAGTTGGCATAAAGTGAGATATATGCCTTATCCCTTCTTAGTGTGAACCATTCATACTTTTTTAAGGGACGATAGTCCTTTATTGACTTCTCCCGCCTCGGGTGAAGTGAGAGAGGTAGTGTTAGACTCTTTCTGACTAAAAACCACCTCGTTCCTACTCCTGCTTTGTGCCCCGGAACAAATGCAGGACTTGAAGGCCCTGTAACGCGCCAGGTTGTCAAGATGGTCTAATAAAAGAACGCTCTTTATCCAACGCTTACAACCAGCCTATAAGGCTACCAAGTCGTGCCCAACTCTCTCCGGTTTACAATTACTGGTGTTTTTGTTTGCCAAATGTTGGCCAAAGTTGTTGTTTCGTTCATGAAGGTTGGTGTTAGCGAGGTGACGAAGTTTACCCCAGCTTCATATTTTGTTTAGATGGTACAAATATTTGTATTGAATTGAGCATTGTGATTATGTTGGTGAGAGAAGTGTTGTGTGATATTGGAAATTGGGACAAATATTTCATCTGTAAGACCATCACTAATGGCTGCACGATTGGTGCGGTGACTGCCGCGCAACGTGTCGCGGCTTCGATTCCCGCAAGGAGCAATTTGTGTGCTCCACAGGTTGTTGTTCCGGGTCTGGGTGTCATGTGTATGTGAGCTTGTATGGTTTTAAACGTACCTACAACACAGGAGAAGATCCTATTGTGGGGCAAGGTTTTCTATTTTAAAATAAGTAAGTCCCTAACTATGTGCCTTTTATTTATTATTTTTACATTTTAATGTCGAGAATTACTTATCAGAAATCAAAAAAACTAGTCTAACTTACAAAGTTGCCTATATTGTAGGTAGACTTCGTGCTTAGTAGTCATCTTGGCGACTTAGCAACAGAACATGTTAAAGTAAAAACCATTACAAAAATATTTAAACTTACATTAGCTACTAAAAAACCAAATTTTATCAACCACAAAATCTTCTAACACAAAACAATCTTAATAAACTTTCTGAAAATACACAGAGCATATTGTATTCTGGGCCAACCTTAGTATTTTAACACCTAAACAAATTTAAAACGACTACACGACCACAAGTGAACCCGAATTAATAACATAGTTAACGCAGTGATGGTCAGTGCTTTGTAGCAACTGGTCGTGCATAATAACAACAACGTATTTTTTGCGTGATTCATTTGCTTATCAGTAAAGTGTGTGCGGTATTGAGCCGATCGGCTCGGCCCGTGCAACCGGTTTGGGCGAGCGCCCGCGCGATACGATGAATGAATATGCATCAAGTGCAGATAATATAAGTGATTCAGATTTATTAAATAAATGTGAACAACAATTAAAGGAGTTAGGGGAGGACATGGGAATTTCTGAGAGTGGAAAAAGTACAATGGGAGAAATTAGATTGGCAGAAAAAAGGAAGGAACGAGAAGATGATTTTATTACTGTAAATAGGCGGTCTAAACATTTCGTGAGGAGTGATTCATTGGAGATAAGAGAGATAACACACAGAGAAAGTGATGAGGTTACAGATATATCTAATAATGAAGTTTGTATTACATCTTTAGAAAATCTACCTAAACCGATAGCTATGGCAAAATTACTTCGCTCGGAAAACATTAAAAATATCCTGAAAGTAAAATACAAAGGTTATAATAAAGTGTTGATCCTTTGCCAGCGAAAAGAAGATGCAAGAAAACTATTGAATTGCGAAAAATTAAAAGATATGGGACTACGCTGTCAACTAACACAAGATATGTCTGTCTCATACGCAGTAGTGAAAGGAATTGATTTAGAACTAAGCGAAGAGGAACTTATGAGTATTTTCAACTCAAACGTAGAAATATTATCAGTAAAAAGATTGAAGCGCTTGAATATAGAAGGCAAGTGGGTGGACTGCGAATCCGTTAGGATTTGTTTTAAAAGTCAGAGATTACCGGAATACATATACGCATATGACTGTCGATTCGCAGTTGAGGCTTACGTTTTTCCAGTAACACAATGTTCAGGTTGCTGGCAGTTTGGTCACATCGTGAAATACTGTCCGTCTAAAACTATACTTTGCCCAAAATGCGGAGGAAAACACGAAAACTGTGAGACTAAAGATTTCAAGTGTTTGAATTGTAAGGGTAATCATTTTGTATTAGATAAAACGTGCCCTGCATTCGTTAAAGAAAAAACTATAAGGAAAATCATGAGTGAAGAGCAAATAACGTACAGAAGAGCTTTACAACGTTATCTGGAAAAAAAAGAAAAAAACAGAACAGAGATCCCTCATGGAGAAACTGTCTCATATATGACAAACAGCGTTGAATTTTCTGGTAAAGAAACCTATAGTGCAGTACTGAAAAAAACTAGGCATCAAGAACCAATACAGATACAGGAAGAAATCCAAGAATCAGATGAAAGTACTCCAGACAAAGTCACTAGGTTTAGACGGAAGACTACAAAGAAAACAAAAAGAATAAATCAAAGAAGATCTGAACTACCAACGGAGCAATTAGTAGAAGTTATGGACGAGGAGAAACATGCATCACAGAAAGAAGAAGACAAAACCACGAAAAAGGAAAAACAACATAAATTACATTTTGAATGGAAAAAGATGTGGCTGAAATTAAAATCTGTATGTATGTCTGAGCGTAATTTTGAAGAAAAGCTGTTACAAATGTTGAAAATTATTGGTGAGGAAATTAAATTTTTTTTAGTCAATATTCTATTTGGAGAAGATGTAGCTGGTTTTTTAAATTATTTAAACAATGGATAGTCGACAAAAAAAAGCAAAGATGAACATTTATCAATGGAATTCACAAAGTTTTCGTCCTAAACTCGTACCATTTTCTGAACTTTTAATACGGGAAAGTATACATATTGCAATTTTAAGTGAAACATGGTTTGATTGCGAAATGGATATAAATATTAATGGCTATAATATATACAGAAAAGATAGAGATGACGGTTATGGTGGCGTAGCTGTACTAGTACATAAATCTATCCAATCTCATCTAGTCCCTTTACATGTTGGTAATGTCGGTATTGAAGGTGTATGTGTCAGGTTAGTGAATTGCAAAGACATAGAACATGTAGTATCACTTTACTGCCCTTCATCTGTTCGTACACAATTATCGGAGTGGGAAGGTATTTTCTCTCAATTTTCCAATAAAACAATTATAGCTGGTGACTTCAACGCTCATCATTCCAATTGGTCAAGCAAATCAGATGCACGAGGATCACAAATAATGGATGCGGTTATAGATAATAATTTCATACCCTTAAACAATGGCTTGGCAACACGTGTCAAATTAGTCAATGGAAATTTACAACAAACTTCTCCAGATGTAACATTTGTAACTACTGACGTTGCAATAAAATTTAACTGGCAGGTTCTCAGCGAAAATTTAGGTAGTGATCACCTTATTATTAAATTTTCTGCTCATTTATCTTCATTTGTTCACATTATAAAAAAATGGAATTTCAAAAATGCTAACTGGCCCAAATTTCAACAGACAATATCTGAAAAAATTGATGAATTTAGTGAAACCTCAGATGATAGCAATGTCCAACAGATGTATAATTTTTTATTTAACTTAATCGAATATTCTGCAAAAAAACATATTCCGCGAATTAAGTTTAATATTGAACCGGACGAAAAATTTAAACCAAAAAACTACTGGACACCAAAATTGTCAGAGTTAGTTGCTCAACGAAGATTAGCCTTAAAAGAATTTCGTAAAAATCCGACCCCTGAAAATATGAGCAAATTAGAAACAAAAACTGTAGAATCTCAATCACTAATTAAAAAGGCAAAGGCAAAAGGGTGGCAAGATTTCTGTGATTCAATCGATGAAGTTACGTCGGCCTCCGAAATGTGGCGCCGCATGAGATGGGTGAAAGGTTGTAAACAACAAAAGTCATGTCCTTCAATAAATAAACAAATAGACCTCTTACGATCGTTAACCCCTGATTACGCACCGAGTCCTATGCCTTCCTTTAAATCTAGAAATGATATGTTAGAAGCTGAATTTTCTATGCAAGAATTGAAAAAATGCCTGAAAAAAAAAGATTCAGCCCCCGGACAGGACGGGATATCTTATTCAATGCTATATAACCTACCGGAAGCGGGAAAGGTATTTTTACTTAAGTTATATAATTATATATTTAAATTTGGTATCGTCCCCCAGCAATGGCGTAACATTCAAATAATCCCTATACCTAAAAATGGAAATGACTGTAATGCAAAGTTAAGACCCATTTCGTTGATGTCGTGCATTTGCAAAATCTTTCATTTATTAATGTGTAAACGAATAGAATGGTTTGTAGAAAAAAACAAGATTTTATCATCGCATACTGTAGGATTTAGAAAAGCTCAGTCGTGTTTAGACTCACTGTCACGTCTCGTTTCGTATATTCAAGTAGGATTCTCCAAAAATATTCCCACATTAGCATGTTTTTTAGATATTGAAAATGCATATAATAATGTATCCATTGAAGCAGTAACAAAAAGTCTAGATAATCTACAGGTTGGGTCAAAGTTTTGCATTTACCTTTGGAATTTTATGAACGAAAGACACTTGGAAATTAAATCTCTTAATAATGACGGGTTAACACCGAGGTGGACTAATAAAGGGTTAGCACAAGGAGACCCGCTGTCTCCTTTACTGTTCAATTTAGCCACTTACCAAATGTGTGATAAATTACATAACGTGCTCTTCACTCAGTATGCGGATGACTTTGTTATTTATATTGGTGACAAACAGATTGAAAAGTGTGGAAAATACTTGCAAGACAACCTCAACTGTTTGGTTAGGTTACTAGGTGAGATTGGATTAACGTTGTCGCCTACAAAATCTAATTACTGTGTTTTTAGTAGAGGCCGGAGAAAAATAGTACCAACACTAAGAATTTATGACCAACCGTTGTCTATGGTAGAATGTGTTAGATATCTTGGAGTATGGTTAGATAGAAGCCTTTACTGGAGAAAGCATATAAGCGAGACTATAGCAAAATGTTCGAAATATCTAAATTTATTGAAAGTTTTAGTCGGTAGTACCTGGGGAGTACACCCTAAGCATATACGCAAACTATATATATCAATAATCCGAAGTCGACTTGATTATGCATGCTTTTTATATGATACTAGTGCAAAGACAAATATAGCTAAATTGGATAAACTCCAAAACCAAGCTCTTAGAGTGATAGGAGGTTTCATTAAAAGTTCACCGATCCATGTAATGGAGAGTGAATTACACATAGTTCCATTATTTTTAAGACGACAATACCTAGCTTATAAATTTATTTTGAAAACACTATCCTGGTCTGACAGCCCAAGTAAAGACATCATTTTAGAATTAAACTCGCATATTCATGACCCCTATTGGACGAATAAGAAGAAACCTTTACTCGCCACAGTTTTTAATGAATTGAGTCAACTTCGGGTAGCATCTTCAGATATATTTAAAATGTTCATCCTTGATATATGGGTATCGGCTATTCAGATTGAAAATACTATTCAATGTAATCTAGAATGTGTTAGACGACCAAAAAAATATTATGAACCTAATTTATTAGTAACAGAGGTGGTATCCGAATTAGCTTCCAAATATGAAAACTACTGTAAAATATTCACGGATGGGTCAAAAGTTGTAGGGGGGGGCGGAGCGGCCTTCTATTGTCAAAGCTTAGGGGATAAATTTATATTTAAAATCACCATCGAAGTCTCCATCATGTCGCTGGAACTCATTGCAATATATCAAGCGATGCTTTATGCAGTAAACAAAAAATTAAATAAAGTTGTTATTTTTACTGATAGTAAAAGCGCTTTACAGCATGTGGCTCGATGTACCTCTGGTTGCAGAGGAACAGCGATAGCCTATGATATTCTCAAATTAATCCATTATCAGAACAATAATAATATCAATATTGTATTGCAATGGGTTCCAGCACATATCGGCCTCCGGGGCAACGAAGAGGCTGACAGCTTGTCCAAGCTTGCCGTTGACTCAGGTAATGAAATAGTATACCTACCAGATTACTGGGAATATGTCAACAGATTCAAGGATGAATGTTACACAAAATGGAAAAACCATTTTGATGAAACATCTAGAGAAAAAGGGTTATGGTACAAAGTGATACAAAGTGAGCCTCCTCGTATGCCCTGGTTCGATGATGACAAATTAAATAGAGAATATATTAAGATAGCCTTAAGATTACGCTCTGGACACTTTCCATCAGCAAAGTTTGGATATCTTATGGGAAAAGTCGCATCACCTTATTGTTTATTTTGCAACAAAATTGAAGATATACCTCACTTGCTGATGGAATGTGTCAGAAATAAAAATGAGAGAGAATCATTAATTAAAGAGTTTAAACTAAATGTTTTAGATGTTGGGTTAGTACAGACAGTTTTGGCAAGTCCTAAATCCAAGTTAGCAGTTAAATTAAGTAGATTAGCAAAAATACCTAATTGATGATTCTCTCTCGATAAATTAATTTAGTTATATTATTAATTAAGGTAGTGTAATTAAAACTAAAAGGGTACGATGGGGTTGGCATATCCATGTGGATAAAAACCCCAAAATAAATAAATAGAAAAAAAAAAAAAAAAAAAAAACATAGTTAACGACAGTCCCGACGCAAACATAGGTTTAATATGAGTTTAGTGTGCCGCAGAATATCGGTGGCCGGTGTTTTGTGGGACTCACCGTTTATAGGTAACTATACAGATGTAACACATAGGGGAGGATACAAGTCTAGTGAACAAGCATATGAATGCGCCGATTATTAATTTAGAAAAAGGAATTAATTATTTATGAAGATTCAATTTACATTATTAGCTTTCTTAAAACTCTTTCTTCTTTTTATTTCACCAAGAAGTATGTATGTATCATATTCAGAAGACACACCTAACATGTGATGGACCATACATTTATGAAATAATATCCTCCGCTGCGACTTTTTATGCGCAAGTATATCCTAAACCATTAAAAGCGGTGCGAGGAGGACTGGGATGTTGTCTCGTTCTTTTGCGAAGCAGTCATGCTAGCTAAAGACGAGGCTCACAACCCAGCCGTCGCGAAAGACACTACGGGCGCGGGACGATCTCCGGTCACCGTAAGCACGGGCCTGCGGACAGCGAGCAAGGGTAGCTCATTCAGTGATTTTCCACCCTTAAAACAAATAAAAAAATAAGCGCACCTTTAAGTGCGTAATTGGAAGAAAAGTACGATAAAAATGGTTTCACATTTTTTGATTCCGTTTGTATTGCTGATCTTTTCTTGCTCGCTCTTTCTCTGGCACTATACTCCGGTCCTAAATCCGGCACGTGCGACATCATGTTTCATTTGTAGTAGAAATTGAAGTAACGTTTAATATTTCATAGTTTTGAGACCGATGTAACAATAAATAGGTACGGTCAACGGGTAGTTTTCTGCGAAATGTAGACGAACTTTCCTCGTTAAAGGTCGTTTACAAAAGGCAGTCCTCAATTTGATTGAATAGAACCTTCTCTTTTATGTACAATTCAAACGAAAATAGGAACTAAAGTACTGATTTTATTTCAAAAAACCTTGTGTAAACACGGTTGACTGCACGGTTGGTGCGGTGGCTGGGCAACCGGCTGCCGTGCAACGTGTCGCGGGTTCGATTCCCGTACGGGACAACACTTTGTGTGATCCACAAATTGTTGTTTCGGGTCTGGGTGTCATTGTGTATGTGAACTTGTATGTTTGTAAACGCACCCACGACACAGGAGAAAATCCTAATGTAAGGCAACGTTTTGTTTA